GACAATATTCAAGTTATTTATCATCACATAATATAACTGAAGTCAACTAAAGGTCAATCTTTCAAAATATAAAAGTAACATATGTATAGTTATTTGAATTAAAACTAGGCATATTTATTTGAATAACTATGAAAGAGATTTTTCCATGTATTTCATAGGTTTCCGTTAAAACAAACCCCAAAACCATTTGTGAGTAATGAATTCACGTCTTGCTACACTACTATTCAATCGTGTTATAAAAAATCCCCACGCATATAGGATTCAAAATGTATCACATTTAACGTGCAGGCAATTATAATACGGTTGTCCAGTGCTTTCAGGTTTTCAATAGTGATCTAACATTCATTCATTCATGATATCAATTTAGAATGATAAAGAGGCAAGTTTATTTATAGAAATCATTGTTCAAACTGAATGATACATTGAATGTGAATTCAATGTTTTAATTACATATTGTTTATAAGAATCTTTGGATATTAAACGAAATATACACAAAAATAACAGTATTGCTAACAAATTAGTTACTTTTAAGTTGATCAAGGACTGATTTATTTTTTAGAATTTTTGTATGTAGCAAAATTCATGAAAATGTCAGTTATCAATATTAATCATACAATTGGACAATTATAAATACTTTTCAATACAATGAATATTACCATGCTAACTTTTCAATGTTATATGGAGACTATCATCAACTGAATATACATTTCTCATCTATACATGAGAACATATAATGCATAGTAGAAATAAGGATTGTCACTGACTAGTGATATTTGTTTCACTGTGACTAGAAATGTACAGAAATTTGTTGGAAATTATTTAGAATAAGAGGAAACAGAGAAACTTATCTGCTTTAATATTGATTATTTCGACACAATAATGGGACAAGAGATAGAATGAGACAAAAACACCAAGTTACATTACAGATGGGAGAAGCTGTGAAAAATCTATTTTTAAAAAAGTCTTGTTAATAAATTTTGAAATTGTGGTAAGGACTTGTAACTGTGGTGGTTAATTTTAATGAAATTTATTCTCTCAGTTGAATAACCTGATCGTGAAACTTTCACTATCTTTATAGACAACATTATCAGCTCAAATTTCAAATTTGTAGCTTACTCCTATTTGAAGTTTGTCTTGACGATGACACCAAGAAAGATAATGAAAGCTTCACGATTAAACTATATAGATTAGAGGACACAATTCCAATGAAATTGTGAATAAATACAACATAGTTGCATTAAAAATAAATCATCCAGCAATCAATCAAACAGGAAACTTATTTTTTTAATTAACTAAATCAATTTGATCAATTTATAAAGAAGAAAACACTTCTGATAACATACACAACACTTCACAATTGTCAGATAATGTCAAGATTATTAAATATATACAAACTTAAAGACGAACAAAGATTAACTAAATAACCATGCAGAGAGACAACTGATTTAATCATTCTATTGTAAATGACACAAAGAAAAATAGAAGCAAATATGTGACATGATATTTATAGAGAAAAACAAAATCATAATTATTGAAAGGAACGTACTGACTCTAGGTATTATTACTAATATTTAGATTCTGAGTGTCTTCTTCTAATATACGATAAATTAACTTAAGCTATGTTAAAACATTAAGAGGGGAAAAATTGGATCAGCATGTAGAACATGCACCAAATACAAGTTTATACATTCGGCTTTCATTTAGAATCTATATACGATAATAAGTATTGATAATTCTGTTCAACCAAGTTGATAAGTTCAATGTTAAATAGAAGAGGAAACTTATGTTTACAGTTATTTTCATATATGAACTAATTTTAAGTAACAATAACTATATATATATATATATATATATATATATATATATATATATATATATATATATATATATATATATATATATATATATATATGATTTATGTGGTGCATGTGTATTTGGTGCCCTTTTGTACCAATAGTCATGTGTTTAAATAAATAAACTCCTCTACAGCACTCATTCGACTCATCCCCAAATCAACAAAAGAATAAGATTGAAACAAAAAAATATTCTGAATAAGCGAAACAATATGATAAAAGTATAAGAATTTATGTCGAAATCATGAGAGAAGAGTTCAGTACATCTTTTTTCACAATCTTTCTATTAGGATTGATTAATCGAAAATCAACCAATTAAAATGCTCTGATTTGGTCTTCTACTCAGAGCATGCAGTTGTCATAATTCTATTCTTATAACAAAATGACATTCAACAATGAAAAAACTAATGAATGATAATAAGCTCTGAATTTAAAAGAAAGGAAGATAGAAGAAGAGGAAAGTAACTGGAGTATTATAACAAAAATCTTGAATAAAACCAATCACTTGTTAAGCTTTTTTTGCTTAAGTACAACCTTTGAAACAGTTAAGAATGATTTTTAATGATAATGAATTTATAATAAATTACAATGGTTATTGATATAACTATTGAACCTGTAATAGTGAATGAAACCAATGTTTTATTTTGTTATCCTTTGAGATGACCTATAATAGTTCCGAACTATAAATAGTCTAGAGTCAGTCAGTCAGTCAGCTACAACGTAGGACCAGGCACATATGTGCATCGGTCCTGGTTGCCATACCGCATCAGCACAACAAGATGAACACCGGATTCATAGCAGCGGTTAGGTCAAAGGTGGTAATATATAAGAGAAAGATTGCATATAGAGATATAGTACAAGAAGAAAGAATTGGTTCGTAGAAAGAAAGATATGTAGTGATTTTAATTTCTTCGTTTAAGGGAAGACAAGTAGTGTATACATCGACGCCATTGTGATCGATTCTGAGCCATGTCACCAAGAGTCTCCAACCATTGGTTACGATAGTCACGTGGACCCCAACCAAGTAGTCTGCATCTACCAACAGTTGAGAGACTATTCTTCATAGGAAATAAGATCAATACCAATTAGATAGACTTAGTGATTAATACACAACAATTTTACAATAACTATTTATGAAATGAAAGTGAGATAATTCTTGTAATAGTGATATATTATTGATAAAATCATATCGGATGAATTCACTCAGTTACATAACAATTAAGTTCAATGAGTATTAGTTACAAAAATTACATTAAAAACGGAATAATTTTCAATTGAATGAAAAATCATAGAGAATTAATATAAAATTTAACAAGTTAATCAGAATCAATTCTCGTGATTAATGATCATTCGTGTTATGGATCATTAATTAATCAATGAAATTTGTAATGAGAATTCATTACTATTACACTAATAAATAAAATCTCAATAGTTGAGATTATGAGTCAATTGAAGCTAGACCACCATGGGAAACCTGGAAACACTGAATGGCTTTTTTGTCATGTTGTAGAATTCCTCAGAAGTGCGCATACACGACCCAACCTCGCCGGATTCGAACCCAGAACCTATCAGTCTAGCTTCAATTGACTCACGATTTCAACTATTGAAATTACTAAAATCTTCACAAAACTCCTTCTGATACTAATCAACGTATGCTCACTAGTGACTGGCTCCAAGATGTATATCCTGGAGTTCTAGTGAGAAGCAGTGACCAGTGGAGTTCAACCGGGTCAGTTGTGAGATAGTAACTCACTGATGAAAATGGTGGATGTGTCGCTTAATTACGGGGATTATTTGAAGTTAAACGTTAACTGTTGGATGCCAGGTCAGTGGTTAAGCGCCCGCGCGTGAAACTGATAGGTCCTGGGCTCGAATCCCGCGAGCGGGATCGTGGATGTGCACTGTTGAGGAGTCCCACAATGGGACGAAACGGCCGTCCACTGCTTCCATGGTGGTTTAGCTTCAATTGACTCATGATCTCAACTATTGAACTTACTACGATATCCACAAAACCCTATCTTATACTAATAAATAAAACTCATTATTATATGATTGAGAAAAAAATGCTATTTTTTCGTGTTCAATTTACCAAACTTTAAGAATTTGCCACTTAAAAATAATTAAAAGTTAGATTTTAATATAATTTATAAGAAATGCATAATAACAATTATAAAACGATAAGGAAAACTATTAGAACAAGAGATAAGGTGATGTTATTGTATGTACTTAGCTTATATGATTACCGCGAATACGACTACGAAATTTAGATACTCGGATTTATATGACCAACAAATGACGCGTACACCTGAACAAACGGCTTAGAATCCCGATTGATCATTTTCCCTACATGATAAGTCCGAAACACCAATCTGAGCTTCCGCGATATAAATAATACATTACAAACACACTGGGTTTATATGCAATCCAAACAGATCACATCACACCACAAAATAGAAAATATTTGTACGAGATCTAGCCAAAAGTGGTTATGATTTTGGGAGGCTGTAATTAATAAAATAAGCAGAACTTATTTATTTAAACACAAGGAGACACCAAACAGATATGCGCCACAAAAATCGAGTTGTGTGCGGCCTAAAATAGTTCCCGGTCGTCCAGACCGAAGCAGGTGGTTTTCTTTGGTGGGCCACTCCCCTAGCCTTCGACCTAAAGGTCTGGTCCACAAGGCAGTGGAGCAACGTTAGGAGATGCAGCCCCATGGTAGGCGGTGACCAGCAATAGGTTCACACGCCATTTCTCCCGTCAGGATCGTGGATCCCTTGTGCACCATTGGTTTTGAATCAGGGGTTTTCAACTTCCCTAGGTGGATCCTACATATCCACCAACCCGGTTAAAGCGCCGGACATTTGCTTATCGTCCTCTCAATTTCATAAACAATACCCCTGCGTGAGAAGGCATAACTTAATAGTAAATCGTATAATGAAAGTTTATAATAAGAGGAATATGAATATACATAGTTTAGTTACTTAACAATTATACAATAAAAATATATGCATAGTATTAGTCCATTAATAGATCCCAACAGTTACCATTCATTATTTTCGTTGGGATATAACAATTATGTTTTAACTTGGCGTGATAATTTGTTAGCTTTAACTTTCGTTTTATTTCAGTTATATGATTTTTGTTCGTAAGTATTTATTCATTGTGAATTTCGTTTTATATAACATGACGAATGTGATTTTTTAGTAATTTTGTGCTAAATCTATTAGTGTATCCCCTCATACCGGTTACATATAATGTTAGTGTTGAGAAGATCCACAAAAATTCCTTGAAAAAAGCCCAAACGGGCCCTGAAAACTCTGGGATACATTTTATCTAATCACCTAACAATAGAAGTTTCTTCGAAACATCTCGAAAGTGAAGAGTAACGTGTCACTTTTCTGAATAGGTAAGTGCCTATTCTGCTACTATGTTTAGAGGGGTTTCAGAACTTCTACGATTGAGCATCATAAAATTCAGTCATTAAGCCTAAATTCGATGATACGTATTTCCTAATTTCAATTAATCCATGAAATGATGTGGAACTACTCAATGTTATCTCTGAATAAATGCATGATTTTCACCTTCATAAATCACGATTTCAGAACAAAAATTCCGGAAATTCACTGAGGAACGTAAAAAATCGAATTTTACCAACTCAATGGTTGGATAGTATTGTGGTTATCGCGAAATTCAAAAATAAAAATAGTAAATGAATTAGATTAACACAAGTCTAAATACTATAAAAGACACAAAGCAGAATATTTTCAGTACAATCTAAATTAAAATAGATTTGATTATATTAACATTGTCATTTCAGTCACGGTTACTTTTTTGTGTGAAACCTAGCTGTGTGTAATTATGTGTTCGTGAGTGAAGAAAATGTGATATTTGTAATGTGGAAGAGTAACGTCAGGAATATATTTGTTAGTGGTGTGAAAAGTGGATAGAATTAGTTGTGCGAATATTTGAATGGTCCATGTTGGATGGATAGTTAGACGTGCTTTTCTTCTTTCTAGTTCTAGAGGTTTATTTGAAAGTGTTTTTGTGTGTTCTTTGGCATCAGTCATGATATCATGAGAAGACTGTCTAGTATAGAATAAATCACCATCTAAACATCACAGTCTGTAAACATAATTCTGTGTCGAAGTGATAAGTATTTTATCTTTTATTTGTTTTACACATTGCCTAAATTCTGTGTGATCTAAGGATTCTTTGTAATTCTTCTGTTATGCCATGATGATATGGCAGAACAACAGGAACAAACCTTTGTACTATATGAACTTGTGTTAATTTATTTTCGTTCTCGGAAGAAGTGGTGGTTTACATTAAGTTCTGAATGTTTTAAGTCTTGTTTCAATTAAAAATATTTAAACTTTCGTTAATTACTTGTTATTCATTCCTAATCATTTAGTTATTACAACTTAAAACGATATATTCATTCAAAAAAAAAGAGAGTTCTGAACTCTTGTATTTTAGGTTATTTAAAAATTTTCTCATTCAATCTAGCTTTATTATTCATAAGTGGATTACTTCAAATACTATTCAACTTTGAACTACTATTATGTCAACGCTTCGAAATAAACTTTACCTAACGTAGATTACATGAGTTAGCCAACAGTATATAATAACTATAAATCTCAGTCTGTAGAGAGTGAATAAATCTAGGAACGTTTATTTAATGACTTTCTTAATTCCCTTTATTTTAGATTAAATTTGTAGAAACAAGTTCAAATACAAACATTATTTCGGTTCCAATCAATTCAAGATATAGAAAATGATATCAAAATAAAAATATTATTGAGGAATACGATAGAGAAAAAAAATGACGACGAATTGAAGAAACATCTTACATTACTTGTTTTTCTGTGAAAAACAATTTCACTTTAGTCAAAATAACAATACTCAATGTTATAATGGTATGAAAAAAAAAGATTAAAACTAATTTCTACTATTGTGTTCATTTATTACGAATCAACTTATTTTTTGTGACTTAATTTCTCAATTATGTGTAGAGTACAAAAATTCATATCAAGGTAGTTCTCAATACCAAAAACATCTCTTTTAATTAGGATAAGGTAATCAGTCACCAACTATCCACAGTTTCGCAGACCAGTTTATGAATTTTAGAATTTAATGTATATGTCGCAAAGTTTCTACTCCAATATCTATACCTTTTTCATTGGAGTAATTCAAATTTATAAGAGCTACTAGTTGGAAATTGTGAATATTATGTTACAATATCAAATGTTTGAAGACTTACTAAATCGAACAGATCCACTCCTAGTCTTCCCTTAGTACTCGAGTCTCGGAATCTTCTCATACCTTTTATTTCTTTTTCTCTACCTAATCGTCTCTAACACCACTGATACTGCTTAATACTCTTCAATTTATCTCCAAATAATTTTATTTCGCTGTGTTATTAAGGGACAGCAACTTGAACCAGTGCATGTATGTGTCAGGTTATTTACATTGCGTATGACTGAATGACTTATTTCACCAAGATTCATGTTGATTTAATCTATAATACACATCGCTTGTAGTAAATATACTTGAACAGAAAAAGTAATGCACAGGTTACTAATTTGTTATATACTTTTATTCAACACGTAGAGATAAATCAATTAGATACAGATAACACTGTTTTGATATTTCAATTACTCACTTCATTTAAATTCTCATCCAAATTAAATGGCCAAGATTGATCATCAATAGAAATACAACAACTAGGAATACGAAAAGATTTGAGTGATGTACCACGAAGAGCTGTAAAAGCTTTCATATCCACAATATTAAACCAGTAACCTTCACGTAAAAGCAAAATAAAAGTCACATTTAATATAAAATTATAAAATAATAGAACGTGTAGAAAAATACACATTAATGACACTGATCAATCTACAACTGCATGGTTAGTGTCTGTAGTGAAGAGAATACGGAAATAACAAACAATGACAGCTAAGTTTTGGGGTATTAGTTCGCTTACTTCCTAATCAATACTTATTAACATTTAGTTTATATAACTGCCTTATTTCTTTAATCACAGGCTTCCGTTTAATCTATAATCTATTGTAATTAAAACGCTAGTCTTGTATCTCATTTTCTTGGCATCTTGGCATATACTAATATCTTTTTAATTTATTGTGATTTACGGTCCAATTATTCACACATTTGATCATGTACTCCTTTGAGCTAAATTGTCTTCGAATACAGATGTATCTCCTCTTGCCAATCAATCACTGCTAGCAGAGATCATTCATCAGCAAATAGGATGGTCCTCCGCCTGCAAATTAGTTATATACCGAACATTTTCAAGGTTATACTAAGTAACCTGACACATCAAGGCCGTTAACTAAATTTGAGACAAATCTCCCTGCATACCTATCAAAAGAACCAGTGGGCAGACTGAGGTCACAACAGCGTTGTTACAATAATAATAGATGAATAGGTATTCATTCACAACCCTGTTTTTTACGAAAGTGATGAGACCACGAATTTCACAACGGATACTGTCTGAATACTTAGTTGTTTCATTTATGAATAACGCGAACATATTTCGATTCAATAGGAATAAAAAGGCCGTGCCATACAAAGTCAGATGGTAACATTACGAAATAAAATACGGAGAAGTCATATAATCCACATAAAATGGATAGGTATAGAATAGTATTTATTAATAGACACCGTTCGATCAGGAAGGTGACCACGGATAGGATTTCGCTCACTTAAGAAATCGTATCTTACTTTTATGGAGAACACAATAATATGCTATAGTGCAGAATCACCACTGGCTCCAATTATGAGTCACATTTGGTAACGTTTCAGGTTACTGGATTGTGATATATTGGATCCCACTTATAGAACTGTAATGAACCAACAGATATCAGTCCTGTCATTTATTTTACAATATTTAGGACATTGGAACCGATTCTGAGCCATTGCATTCAGTCTTTAGTCACTTTCTAAAGCAATAATCAAGTAGAACTAAGTTGGCCCGACCGTTGTTGCTACCTTGAAGTGGTGGTCGGGCATGCCTATCGTGATGAAGCAACCGAGCTATACTGACTGGAACAACTGTTCCTCAAGGTCCTACCATGTCAGAAAGGTTGGTTGAAGAGCGGCAAGACTAAAAGCAACAAACCCAAGGTCCGAAGGCGAAGTCGTACTGCTGACTGTACAGAGGTGTGACAGCAGTAAGGTGTTTCCTTCAGACAACCAGCATGACAGCGATGCTGCCTTCCCACAAGGAAGGGTAGGGTTAGAAAAGGTCGACCCTAAAAATGCACACCTCGCCTTATTTCACGGATATCCGTCTACGGCGGTAAGGTCTCAACAAGTACGGAGCTAACACAAAAATTGCCCATAAAAAGGTCGTGTGTGACCGACCTCAAGCAGTTGTCCCTTGGGCACTGCGGTCACGCTCCCAGGTCACTAAGACCACTCCTAATCCGATTTCCTTTTCAGGTACCTCCAGAAGAACCCTTCTACGGTGTGGGCAGCCGGGAATCGATAACCGCCCTCATACCTCTAAAAGCACTCAAGACTACTTTATTCATAAGAACTAAGTTGGGTAGCCTCAGTCTATCAACACAGCTCAATCCCATGGTCAATGTCCCCTTGGACTGATTCCACTTCTTGGTTCAAGAGTCCCTAGATTCCTTCCAATCTACCCCTACATCAACAAACAACCACCAACGAGGAATTTTATGGTTCGGTATACGTAATACATGCCCCCCCCCAAAAAAAAGAACACCTGACCTTATGAAAATTTCACTACTCCATCGATCAATTTACGATTCCTTACCTATTATACTGAGTCTAACCCCAGTTATGCTAACTCAGCGGTCCCAACAAACGAGCACTGTATCGAAAACAGCTATGGTTGAACATTAGTAACCTACGAATATCCTGTTTCCAAAAACTGTATTTCATAACAATAAAAAATAACAGAGCAAACTGTTGTATAATATAATAGTCCCTTGGTCGACACAGGAACATCTCCCCCACAACACATGTGACACAGGTTGGCAAAAGCCAACCGAGTTTTCTGAACTAGTCCCAATATTCCAATAGACACATACTCAACAGGGCTGACGAAACTTCCAAGATAAGTGGAGTGGTGGACAAGTAAATTTCCTAGTATGAAATCAATCAACGATGATATCAACAGAATTATCGTTGCTAATTCTTAACACATATTGGTGGACCTCGAAACTATTAGCGCCGTTCTCAAATGAATATCCTGATCTCGGATGGGTTAGGTTTTACAACCATAAAGTGAAACTGCCCTTATTAACATATTGTGCCCTCAACCTTTGACAGTCAGTTGTGATAGATCAAAAGATATTCCAGACTGGTATGAGCCGATTCGGCCCTCGCTAACCAACTGCTCTGTAAACCGTACAGAACATTTGGACAGAAGACTACGCATGAGTTGGTCGATAAATACACAGGGTCATTTTTGAGTAACTAAAACATTGGATTACAGTCTCACATGTTTTGACACACTCAATTTCATCAACATTACATATTAATATTAATTCAATTTAAACGGTAAAACTATTTGACGAGTAAGGGACGGTTTCCGTGAATTTAATTTTACTGGATGTGAAATTGTGTTTTCATGTACCTTAGTTCCCCTAACCCTTAGATCAATCAAAAAAGTAATTCCCATGGTCTAATGGAGAACCTGCTTTCAGAATAAAAACCATCAAATTCAAAAGGGCAGCATTTCACAAATTTTATTAACACCATCATGTTGTTTCACATGTTTACATCGAACAGCGAGGCGGACAATATGCTTCGAGATATGTTTGTTGGCGTCGGAGTTCTAACCAAGGAAGAGTCAGCCAGACAGCCAACAGTTGACGCGAATCAAGCTTCCTGTTATTTTACTATATTAAATAGCCATTGCAAAGAGAGGGATTTTTATATTAAATATGTATGGAGAATAAAAAAGAATCCGTCAACGGCCGATATCTTCATCAAGTCAAGGTATGTTTCTCCAAATATCCTGTATATACTAAACTAGACATGCTATTAGATATGTTGGTCCTCCGTAAATGTTCATATGGCAAATGGGTTCACAACCGCACGTTGTTCATGAGCAATGTTCATGGTTCCGTCGTCTGACAGACCAAATGTAGAGCACTCTCCCTTTACTGTTGTCGGGAGTTGCAGCATTTATAGCAATCGATTCCGTTTAAGAAACCTACGGAGAACAACTTGCACAGGATGTCTGGGGTATGCGTCATCCTTTTTGGAAAATCAAACCTCCCAGGTTTGTTTAGTAGTTTTCATAATGTTTTGAAACCTTCGCAGAGCATATCATGCAGCTGGAAGGCGAAGCACAGACGTGGTGTGACGTATAAGGTCAGCTGCAGTACTATTTCTTCTGTACATGGGATACGAATAACACAGCTTGCCGGTTTACAGACATCACAGGAATTGGTGGCACCTTAAATATAATGAAAAAGTACCGTTCTACGAGTTAGTAACATTGGATACATCAATGAGGGAGACACCAGTAGCCTTTGGATTTATAGTTGGCGAGACATCTTATCTTATTGAAAGGTTTGTACCTCTTTTTGTGCCTTTCTGGTATACTGGTAAGACGCTTCAGTAGTGACAACAGCCCTGTCATTGGCAATGCTCTAAATGGAAACTTCCTGGCTGCACACCACACTTTGTGCAGATTTCACATCATACGGAACGTTATCGAGAGAGTAAGCAGGTTTCTAAGATGGCCCCCGATGATTATGACAATGAAGCCAGTGCAGGGTGCTCAACAGTGAATGTTCATCGCTTAACACGAATCATTTAATTCACATGAATTCGTAAAATATTGGAACCGATATTAAATTTAGTATTTTTAGTATTTTCTTACAACTCTAAAAAATAATAATCATGGTAATCACTTCATTAGTAGCATAAAATAGATGAATTTGAACTTCATGATAGTTTGTATCCAGTTCATTGCAGTCTATTATTATATTTATTCATGATTAATAATGTTCGTTTATAAGTTGACCTCTTTCTAATTGTTGTCAGGAAAATCAATGGAATCAGCTGACCTTAATATTCCGCTACAGTTTGTTAGGATTTATGTAAGATTATATTTAACGCAGTTGAAATATAGTCTTATCAGTTGGTAATTCTCTTAGAGTACTGATTCTTCAAACCATATTAATTGTCTGACATGAATTCAATATGTTCACTTAAAATATTCATACGGTATGAGGTAAACTTTCTAAAGTGTGTTTACGCTTGAGTGATTAGTATATGTGATAAGCACAAATCCTGCTTATCAAATATGGCAAGATAAAAAATCCTGTAGTATGATACATTCATACTACGTGGTTTTCACGTCACGATTGACTCTAGCTAGAAACTATTCTGTGTATTCAAAAAATACACGTTAGTATTTAAAACATCAAAAAAATCCTTAACTGTTAATGGTTATCTTCTGCGTTCAGTTGCAAAAGTAAATTAACCTAGGTCCCTCACCAGAATAAATTCCCTTTAAAAACTTGTTACTATTATCAAGAGCATTTGATTAAAAATGTCACTCACATAGTTGAATACGGGCATAACTGATTGAATACATCTCACTGAATGGTTTATTCAAATACGAATGGTACTTAACTCATTTCAAGGAACTTCTTTGTACTGCAGTCATATGAATATATAATTTGTCATATTAGTTATTTTCATCTAGTTTTCTGTGTATTCAACTTTTCTTGATAGATCGTTTATTGAGAAAACCATCTGACTTGTTTCGTTAAGTCATATATTTTTTTAAAAAGTAGTACAACATATTAGCTTACTTGTAAGTGCTCAAGTCATTATTATGTTTATAGACAAAAATTCTATTACAATTTTATAATGTGCTACTATTTACAATATTACATTTATTACTTCTGTACTATTGAGTTTACTTAATTATTTTCAGATTTGAACAACCGGTTTAAGAGTAACCTCATTGGTTAAACAGATTATAGGAGAAAACAAGCACATAACCAATCGAATAAACCTCCTTAGGGGCAAAAGAATTATAAGTTTAGACACACATCGCATTCGCGTATGCAGTTGTTCAGACTAATTTGACTAGTAATATGAATTCTATATACAATTTGGAAAGAAATTACTTACCAATTAGTGTAAAATGCGACAATTGTTGACATCTCCATGCTAACATAACAAACGGATCAGGGTTGACATCATCAGGCGCTTTATACAAATTTGGTGAGTAAAAAACAAGATTTGATGAAGTAGCTGATTGTGGAGCCTCGGAAAAATTGGAATAATAATTACAATCGTAAGGTAAATAATCACAATAATCATTAACATTGGTTTTAGTTGTATTGATACTATCATGAGTAGAAATGAGAGCTGAATGAGATACAACGCTTGTATCACTACCACCACCCTTATCGATAGCACTTTCCTCACATGCAGTTGATTTCATTATGCACAAACTATCATTCCCATTTTTTGGTAATATAATTTCTGAATTAGACGAGTATTCAATTTGTTCAACCATCTTATGAAGTGATATTGGTGCTATCAATGATTGGTGTATTTGATCACCAGACAAACATGACCCTGACGGTACCGGTAAAGACGAAGATGATGAAGTCAAAGATAGACTGGTTGAAACGGGCAGCAAAAAATTACCTGAGTAATAATTATTATTACTACAACTTTTGTCTTCATAATCAAATAGATCATAGGAAGAATCACAGCTCAATATATCAAAATCACTTGTACTATCCAGTAATAATGAATGATGTGAGGAATAAGAACTGAACATTGACTGATAATCAGAGTCAACACAGTCGTAATTATCATAATTAATAACAGCATCATAAGAAATTGTTGCTGGTGTATTGGCAATAAATCTAATGATATTGCCATTATTATTATTATTATCACTACTAGTAGTAATGGTAGTATATTCCGTATAATGAGAATTATTATGTAAAATACCGTTAGAATTGTTTGACATCACAGATATTATATTGAAAGTATCAATTAGATAGAAATGCTCTAAACTCATAGCAAATGTATCCATTAAATATTGTATAAGATAAGACAATGGATCTGGTTTACAATAGTATATATAAATTGAATTTAAAGGCAAAGCAGAAGGCAAAAGTTTGGTTGAAAGTAATTGATAAATTTGATTCTGTTCACCATATGGATGATGATCCTCCCTTAAATGTTGTTCACGTTCATTTTCCAGTCGACATTGCACCGGTATATGCGGTGAAGATGAAGACGTTGGCGATGAGGATGTAGAAGTGACAGAATGGGATGGTGACATCGATGAATATGATGATGGTAGTGGTAATTGATTATCAAGTTCTTGAGTAGTATTTTGTATGAAAGACATTCGTTGATTGATTGAATTCGAATGGATTGTTGATTGTTTGAGATCGTTTACACAAATTAGGAATAAAGTCACACGCAAATTAGGAAGTATTTCATGCACATGTCTCCAAATTTGATTTCTGGGATAGATGGGGAGACAAAAAGAAACTAGACTAGAGTAACAGTTTAACTGGAAATAGTGATGAAAAACAGTTGCTACCATCAGCTGGCTACACGTAGTCGAGATCAAAACGTCAATAATGAACAGCAGATTCAAGTCAGTCATAATTAACGTAGAATGGGATCATAAAAGTTTCCTCCCCCAAGCTGTTACATTAAATCAGAGCATCAAAGTGAAATTAATAAGATAAATAGCCGAGGAACTTAAACAATAGCGTCGATAATGGTTGAAGAGGCTAAATACAGTTTACTACTCCAACAAAAATTTACAGATAATGCGTTGTGGTTATCATCATCGACAACACAGTACATTTAATCGTTTAGCTAATTATTTGGCTGTCTTATTTTTTTTTCAAAACTACACATGCACTGATAATGTCGATTTGTATCTATCAATCAGCATGATTAATTTAATCCTGACCGTAAGGCTATATATATGAATTTGGATAATCATAGCATACAAACAAGTACACATCTTTACATAACACAAGATGAACACACTTCACACCAAATGATGACCGATATTCATAACTCGACATGTAGGCAGGATTGGACAACTGTTTTGTAAACTGTTTTTTTCGTGACCTATTTACATTTGGTTACAGATTATTTCCCTGGCGAAGCTTGGAACCGACTATAGAGTGAAGAGCTAAAGGTATCTTAATTCCAATCTGAGATTAAGGGGCTTATACAGCGCTAACAATACATTTAGTTGTTGCTGTCATCAGTATGTGACAATTTAAGAAATTAGGACACGGTGTTCTAAAATCTGAGTAATAGCCCAAAAGCCCTTTATAAACACACACCAGCTACCTAGACCGACAGATAAATGAAACCTTGCATAATCAGACATGAGGTTACAGAACAAAAGTATGACAGTATCCAGAAAGAATAATGAGATGACATCTTTGGGAAAGATAAACATTGAGGGTATCCAACATACTTATCCATAAAAACTCCCATTTCATTTGAAATCATTCGATCCTTATGAATGATAGCCAAAATCCTACGTTCGCCCCCTAATACTTAGACAAAAATGTGTCATTAATTTTAAGTCTTCGTTTGACCAACCAAGTCTCTAGTGTCAAATACATTAAAAGACTCAGTAATTCAACGTACTTAAAATGTGTAATAAAATAATTACAAAACAACTTGATATTCCTAGTAAGTCAGTCGGTTACTTTTGATTCAGGAAATCGCATGAATGTCTACTGATCTAAGTTTCTACATGAAATCGGCACAATAAGAGAGAGAAGTAGTAAGAAAAACACATCAGAGAAACTAATTTCAACTGATATGGAAACAGTATACTATACAACTATTTAAAATCATAAAACTCACCGAATTATGGGAAGATCTTGAACATTGTTTTGTACAAAAAGTTTTAAAATACGAAGATGGTTTGAATTTCTCGATAAAATTAAAAGTATATCCTCCGAAAGATTTAGGTAATTAATAGAAAATTGGTTGAGGTTGGAAAATATAAATAATCTTGTATTTAAATATGACATGGATTGATTAATTTGAAATAATCTGATAATTTGTAATGATAATAAATTATGCTTTTGATTTTTTGTCAATGATTGTAATACACGACTGACTTCATAACTTCCACAATAAGTCCCACCCCAATAAAAATTTTTTAAACATTTAGCATTCATAATGACCTCACATAATGCATTTATTATTCTGAAGTTTAAATGGGAAAAAGAAAGAATAATAGCATACTTTTAAATGCATAAAAAGTAAAAATAGATAATTACATGGTCGAATATTAAAAAAACATCCTTATAGCTTAAAATACAATGAAAATGTGTTTCTCTACCAAACACTAACGGGGTAAATTGGTAGTTGAGCCATTCGAATTTTAACCCGATTAGGTTCCAGGCTTGAATCGAACTTCACGTTCACTTGCCCAAGCAGATCTCAAAAATAACTTCACAAGTCAAAACTGAATACATGAACCCGTATTTGGTGGCTGAATTTGGTTGAAATTATCTCTTTTTCCTTTTTAGCGAACAATAGCAAAAATCTCATTGAAATAATGAGCCCATCAACGTTAGACAACCATTTAAAACCTGCCAGCACAGGAGGGCCGTTTCTCCCTAGTATATGACTCTTCAACAGTGTGCACTAATCACCTCACAACGGGAATCAGACCCAGAACCCACCAACTCTCACGTGAAAGCTTAACCTTCGGACCACTGAACTGATGTTCAACGGCGTTAATGTCTAACTTCAACCAATCCACGATGTTGCGCGACCATCTTCCATTGTTCTCCATGGGTAACTGCCTCACACTCGACACGGTTGAACTACACTGATCGCGACTTCTAACTAGAACTCCGAATTACCTCGCAAAGTTAATCAATTTGGATGAAATTCAACAATTTCCACAACCCCGAACTGAAAATTATCATATGCTCAGTAATGGTCTAAAGGTTAAGTGTTCGCTTGGGACCAAAGGTCCTTGGTTTGAATCCCGCGTGTGTGATCATAGGGTAGCACTGCTGAGGAGTCCGATACCAGGATGAAACGGCCATCCAGTGCTTTCAGGTCTTCACTGATGGTCTAAAATTGATCGGTTTATGATATAAACAAAATACAACAATCTCCGCAACTTCAAACCGAAAAGAGTAGAGAAAGATGAATATGCTTGCTTTTTTATTAATAGTATACTAAAAACTAAAAAATAGAAAGTCCAAATACGGGGATGTACATTGGAATAAAAGAATCATCCTTGTGGCTTCCGATGTTGATGGTTCTTGAATTTTGTAACCGAAGTGAAGTGAGTTGAACATGTGACTTACAAATGTGATATACGATCTTAGTAACCATGTGCAAACCCGTGTATTACCGTAACCAATGGAGGTGCATTCACTCTTTGTATCTCTCTAGAACGTGAGTCTGAAAATCTCTTTGTAATCCTAATTCTCCATACCTGATTTTTTCTTATTACTGGTGATACTGTTAATAGTTCTACTACTCTGAGATTTCTTTAGAGATAATTTTATCTCGCTGTATTAATGTGGTGTAGCAACTTAAAATGATACACATGTTAGGATCTACGTTGTTTTCCTTTGAACTATTAATTTTGTATAGGTGTGGTAGTATTTTTAAGCTAAGCCGGATACTGTAGAAGGGATCGAACCTACAACACACGGTTTGAAAACCGTCTTTCATTTTCAAGTGACTACTGCACCATCAGTATAACCCTATTGCACTATACTTCAGAACAACCGGAAGACGGTTAGAAATACAGGTTTGGCTGATTAGATATATTTACATCAGTAAATTTACAAGTACGTTTGTTGCTCTTTGAACGGGGAATAGGAGAATGAAGAGGACAAAATTATGAGAGTGGGGGCCCACTCAGGAAATTTCAAAACTGATAGAGAGAAATGCTTCTGGGTAGGTAAATACCTTTTGTACACATATGGACCACCCAGTTGTAGTTTATTCTTGATACAGAGTATTTAGTCAATCTCCAGTACCGTGGAAAGTATGTAAACAGTTGACATCCTCGTGGGTTACTCATATTATGAAAGATCATTTTCCTCTACGTAATTAAAACAAAAAAACATGACCATTCTTGATGACCTCGCAACCCGATGGATTGATTGCAACGGTTAAGAAACTGTTTGGAACCTGACACACATAACTGTTGAGCAAAATATTTTATTTTCTTATTTACCAAGCATAGATTAGTGCAATCAGTTTCGAGACACTATGGAGGTTAGCTGTACTATTAGGTATGGAAAATCGAAGTGGGTGGAGCAGGACTCGAACATGCGGCTCACTAGCTGAAAGTTAAACCCTTTAACCATTAAGCCACTGCTCTACACATACACCCACGTACAGCACTTCTCAATAGGTGGTTGGGAACGAGTAAGTTTTAGAATACAAAACATCCCTCTGTAAAACGATATACTACTAATTAGTCGTCATAGTTGAAAACAATTCCATCTAGCTCATTATAACCGGATGTGTTTTGTCTCAATTTAATCATGGAGCGTCGGTGGAATTGAGGTAACATACAGCCAGTGATCTCAAATTAATAACAGCAACTATAATACCTTATCAAAAGTCACAGGTCGCCCCGTCTACTGTAGGAAACTATTACATATAGAAGGATGACTGTTAAACCAAAGTGAAGTTTAAGGTACTTTAGGAAGGGAAGTGAGCACAAACAGTACCCTTACGATCAATTATCTGTGGACAATTTGACTCATTTGTATAGTCCCGGGAAATCTTGGGACTCAACTCTAAAGTTATGTGGGTGAAAGATATACTAAAGTAAATGGCTTTCCTAAATAATATAAATAAATCCCCATCAAACATATGATTTCCGGTCAATTTGCATTTGTGTCAACTGTATTTATTTATCTCTGCACCTCTTGAATACCTTGTTAATTAAGAATGTGATTTAAATTTCTTATAATTGAAACCTACTGAGTCTTAGTCATATTTTACCGGCTATCATTAGTTTACTTGTTACCTTCTCGTAAATTTGAAGTCGTAAGTCATTGATAATGGAGTACTACATGGTGAAATGGGTACCTGGGCGTAGTTTAGACCTAAGCATTGCTGTTGAAAAATGACTATGCATTTATCTCAAAATTGTAGAGGCATGTCAATTTAATCGACGAAGAAGGATCAAAAAAACTGTGTCAAGTTTATAATCCATCAACAACGTTTGAGAGATACCGAAGTGTCTTTAAGAGTCTTTACCCACTTACTAACATCAAAGAAAGTCATGTTATTGGGTAATGGAGACTAGTGTATCGAGTCAAATAAAGATTAGAGTTGTCAACACGGACTGACACCGACAATGCCAAAATGAAAGTTGGTCACGGGGATTTCTGTGCCGAAATACAAAACTCGCAACCTTAGGTCTGATTGGTTTGTCCATAAGTGATAATCTCGCGATAACACTATGTGGACAGACTGCATGTACATGAATAGATATGAAACAGCTTGTTCACAATTTAAGTTAAAGGGAATAATTTTCCATAACATACTTTTTTGAAAGTCGGTTCGAGATATTCAAAGAGGATTTATTGTATAAAAGTTTTAATGTCGGTCGTAGGGAAATGGAATGTATTCCAGCATTCGAACACAAAGCACTCAGCGTGTATTCCAAAACAGCAACATGAGACTCATTCCTTGGGTCAAATTCAAGTGAAACCTCGTTACAAATTTTCATAGGGATAATCTGATTCTTGAGAGCTTCAACTTCTGGAAAATTAGGAGGACATATATGTAGTTTCTTCCATACAGATCTATCGGTGTATGCGACCCCACGCCAGTGTTTGCACACGGTAGAAACGTAAACAACTTCATCGCCTAAATAACTGTATATACGCTTTACAATATGGTAAGGCAAAAAGCTCCAAGACTGAACCGACGAACCAAAGTCCAATGCCATACGATATAACCGCCAGTCATTTGGGGAATTAACGGCCTAACAGAATTAATAAATTAAGCATTAAAACGCAGGCCAACAAACAAAGAACATTCACCTCTTTTGGAATTTATGTATGACTTCACGATTAGACTGTGTAGTATCCCTGCTTTTAGATGTTCAGATCTCAAATTTGCTTGGAAGAAATGGAAACCGATTTGTTTCTTAAGATATGTAGGGCTAGTGAAATTTCACTGGGCAGTTGCCAAATCATCCGGCAGTTAGGTCACTGGATGTTGAACAGTTCATCGATCGCCGTCAAGGTTGAGGACAACCAACGTGCATCAACTAACCGTACGTCATAGACTGGTCCATGCAGTAGAGGTCACAGTTTTGTTTGTACCTACTCTGATATATTTCTGTTATAATATCCTTTGTGTTATACGGTCTTAAAAGCATCCCTAATACCTTCATACAACGAAGGTGTAGTCCAAGTTAGGTGCTGGACATTAGTTGTGACTTCAGCGTTAGCTGTTGGTCACACCATTGCCATCTAACTCGAGTAGGCTCCCAATCATGCGGCATAGATTATTAACGTTGTTAATATACCGATCTGAGTTCCGGTTGAGAGACAAGATTCTTCTTTATGGGGAGGTAAAAACTTTTGTTTCAGTCCTTCAAGATACAAAAATTCTTGTATGATAAAAGGGATAACTGAGTTAAATTTCCCCAGAAATTATTCTTCAGTGCTAATGATCAACATACAAACACATTCACACTTTGAAACTGAATATGTAGGCGGTTTTGTTCTAACAATATCCACAGTCTCTTGATCGCTTTGAACAACAGTGCTAGCGTGTTCAGGATTCTGTTCTCTCCTCCTGAATGCAAAATATTGCTTCAAGACTAGTATGTGTCAAGGTCTAAACTAGTGATAGGGAGTGAAGTAGTCGAATGTGTTGACCGCTCCACTTATCTTGGAAGTTTCGTCAGACCTGTTGAGTATGTGTCTATCATAATATTGGGACTTGTTCAGAAAATTCGGTCGGCTTTTGCCAACCTGTGTCACCTGTGTTGTAGGGGAGATGTTCCTATGTCGACCAAGAGACTATTATATTACACAGCAGTTTGCTGTTATTTTTTATTGTTGTGAAACACGGTTTTTGGAAACAGAGGACATTCGTGAGTCAGCAGTTATGGTTAATGCACTGAATATTTCTATCCATCTACTATCTTGACGGACAGTAGTTGCTGATAATAAATTACATTGGATAAATTTTAGAGACTCCAAGACCATGGCAAAAGATCAGTCCATGAAGCCGCTGACTGTTCGACTGGGTCATGTAAGTAGATGCAGACTATCTAGTTGGGGTCCTTATGACTGTCTTGACCGATGTTTAGAAACCTGTGATACTGCATAGATTCGTGCGCAATAGATGAGCTGCATTCATTCTTTGTCTTCTCTTAGATCACAAGTTTCTGAATGTCTTTCATGAATTTTTTTATCCCACTAACTTGCATTTTCTTGTCGAATGGTATCATAGATGCGTAAGCATTTATATTTCAACTAATGCTTTTACCACCTATACCACTCAGTGATTTAACCCGGCAGTTTCACCTCTTTTTGATAATGAATTTCAGTAAATTAAAATGATATATGTGTGTAAGACGTCCTAAGCTGCGTACGACTGACTGAACAGTGAAACTAAAACTAACGGTAAATCATTAAGTGCCATTAACACTGCCTCTGATAGCGAACTTGACATATCATAAATTCTAAAGATGAAAAAATTCATACAAATTTTTGTGTCTTTATTAAGATATCTTCTTAGATATGATTTTCACTGGATTGCATTAGTAGTCTATTGAGATAACATGGATTATGATTGAAGTGAATCATCATGATTGTATTCCTCCTTGTCTGTCTGTACAACAAAATTTACCAGGCTAATGGGGGCAAAGTTTTCTAGTAAGATTGACATTTTAGCTTTTAGTTTCCTGTTGATTTGACTCCAATTTGAAACAACACATGAACATGTAGAATTATAGTCTAGGTTCCTTATTTGCACTGCTGTATTGATAGACCTATACATAGAACTATATAAAAACAGTCAAGGTCGATAAGCGAATAATTGGCAAGGCCGGAATGGGACTCATGAAGAATAAATAAGTTTATCTGTCTGGGAGCTAGAATAATACAATGAGTACTCAACACTACATGTTCTAGTGGACAGCATCATCGACGAACAAGGAGGATCTGATGCAGATGTATAGTCAAGGATTAGCAATGTAAGGACAGCATCCCTACAACTGAAGGATATTTGGAATTCAGACTGCATCACAAGGGAAGCTCTAAGATGGAATTTTGAATGAAACAGTAGAAGAGGAATATCAAAGAATACATTGCGTCGGAAATTAGAGGCAGATATCGAAAGAGTGAATAATAGATGGAAGCAACTGGAGCGGATTGTCCAGGACAGATTTGGACGGAGAATGCTGGTGGAAAACCTATCCTCCTCCACGATGGGTCACAGGAGTTAGTAGTAGTGCCTGCACTGCTGCTAATCTTGAAGAAAACCTTGGTTTGCTCCCCATAAAAAATGACTCATAACCCACATAAAGCGCTGATCTATAAATCGGCGAGTCAACTCCTTTGGAACGAACTAACGGTAAAAGATGTTGAAATGCTGGCAATCGAGTCTTCATACGGCTGATTTCAGTACGCTATAGAAAACTGTTTTACATCGGAGTTGTATGTCTCGAAGCAAAATATAAAATGACGAGTACAGTATAGCTTCACCCACTTGATCTAGGTATTATTAGCACTGATCATAATACTTGTGAAAGAGTTGTTCCAGAGGCTATGCTAATCAGACTTGGTATTAGATGAAGAAATAATAAATGGGAATATTTATCATAATACGTTTTTGGTTACAATCCAGAAGTAAGTAGTGGTACATCCTAGCTGTTTCTCATGGTACCGTGTGTCAAAAACCCATTTACGAATCTGCATATCTGCAATCTTGCTTTGAAAGTCGGACCTAAAGTCACGGTACATGTCTGATACCACCCATACAGTACTAAAATCTGTTCGCGTTGTGCTCCGGAGATGCCAAAGACATTACAACTGAAGTTGAAAGTCACAAGGCCTTCGGGAATCACAGCAGTTGCTTCGCATGCTTAGAAGCCTTTCATCTGAGACTTGATCTATATTCAAATTACCTAGATGTGGATATTTTTAACCGATTCAGTGATTATGTTTCATTATGTCAGGACTGAAACTGGCCAACTGAAAGTATTTATATCCAGCCGAGTCTCGGCACAATTTAATAGACTTAAGGCCCGGTTAAACAACGATTCATTTCTAAAATGGACGTAAAGAGTCCTGAGTACGTACTAGTGTTTACCAATGTTCCGGTAGCAACCTTTTCTAGGAATGAGAATGAGGGCTCGCATACTCTTAATTAATGATGGATTCAGTATCATTGAAATTAACTGATATTAAGGGGTTGACTTAGACTATCACAGCCAGAACCCTGGTTATCTGTTCTCAGATATTATCTGCCAATAAAAATCAGTGGAATAAATAAGTTCCCTATACGTACAAGTGCACTTAACTTTGAAGTCATATTCACTATAACTAGATTACATTGGGTTTACTCAAAACAGATCATGGACTTCTACCATATAAAAGAGGTATTTAAATGACGGCAGTTGACTCCTTTCTAAACACGGAGAGTAGTCAAGAAGTTGGTACTTTAGAAATTATTTCTAATTGTTATTTCATCGAAAAATAGGCTCTTAATGTTTGGCCGCTTCTGACCGAGTTACTTATTTTAGGAGCATAAATATTACTTCTATCTATTGATTACTTCATTCTAAATCGCCCGTAGGATCAATATTACTATAAATGGGAAGTTACAATGTAGGTATAGCTACGCTTCGAACAAAGAAGAAATTAGGCAGCAGGTCTGTAATTACCTAAAAAAGACTCACGGAAGGTAAGAAACGATAGTTTATGTATCACATTAAAACTTAGTATTACAAGAATATAAGAATGGGACTATCTAAGTGTCTCATACATATATTCAGTAAAGATATCAGCAACAATTCTTGGAAAAGTAGATCCCAAATCTACGGCTCTCACAACATTCATGTCGTTAAAAAAGCACATATTTATGAAGGCTTTGATAGATTACAGGTAACTGTATGCAGGTGGTCAGCTTCCATCTGGTCTTTAATGTAAAGGAAGGAAATATCCTATTGTATTGCAAAAGAAGGAAGAAGTCACGGATTCGATCCTAAAGAACTATCAACAGTAAGTGCCACTCATGTAATAATGATAAAGTGTGCCTTAATCATGAGAAAGGTTACATGAAGAAAGAATCCCCGCCCAGTGGAATAACTAATAAAAATCCTTATCAAATGCTGGAGTAGAGAGTGGTGGCGATTTTGTTTTGTATTTGCAGTGGGCCATTCTGCAATAATTAGGGCAAATTAAGACAGAAGTTCGATGAGGCACAACACTCATATACTAGCATATTTGATATGTGAATTATTCATTTGAAAGTGATAGACAGCTTCTCAGAGGCATCGTTTATAATGGTGTTGACCGGAATCACTAGGAAAATAAGTTAATCAAGGAACATATCCGATAGCAGTGAGTATGACTTGTTTACAGTCAAACACCAGATGATCATCTAGGTTTCTAAGGATATCGAACGAAGTCCTTGTGACCCTGATGTACTTTTAGATTACATTCATACTTTCACAGGTCTTGAGACTTACCTATATCTCCTGATTAAGTAGCTATGAATAGAAACTACCTTTTTATAATAATCCTCTTTTGGCTTGAACTATGAAAAGGAATAAGACTCTCGTTGCAGTAAAAGTTGAATAGATTCTTGAACCTTCCACTCACCAAAAACCATTACAGTGAATATATCACTTCTAATTCAATTTCAATAAATTTGTTGCATCAAGCCTTGTTATTTAGTTTTTTATCATCTTATCCTGGGCTCTCGAAATCAGTTCTGACTAAATTTGAAGCCTCAAAT